GGTTTTAATAGTGAAATGATATTCAAAACTTGCAATGATGTTCTTTAAAATATTGAAAATTAGGTGCAATAAATAAGGTTATTTAGATTTTTTACGATAATTTAGGGAGTATCTCTATAGGTTCTAGGGAAAAACCAAAATCATAAGTGTAAACACTGATTCCGTGGTAGTTTATAAGTATTTAAGAGATGGCGCTGATTAATTCTGTGCTTAAACCGTGAAAATTTTTTGTTCGCACGACCATATCTTATCATTTATATCGATGAATCTGGTATTATTATCATTACATAACACGCACGTACACCCGAATCTTATCTGATACGTTCACATATACATAAATATTGGTAATCAAATAACTGCATACAAGCAAATGCTTATCATGAATAACCGCAATTGATAATAAAGATAATTGACAATTGTAGTACTGTAGAGTGCAGAGAAGTTAATCAATATCAAATTTATTGATTTTTGATCATACCTACGTATTTATCAATAACATAGTCATAGTCAATACATCATTTTTATCTTAATTTATTTATTTCGTAAAAGAAAGCAACCTAAAAATGTTATTTTACTATCTAGGATTAAAAACTGAACTCAAAACCACTTTAAGACATAATTCAATTCTTAGAGTAGTTAAGTCTTCGTAATAACCTTATGTTTAATGTCCATGTCACACCTATGCCGGTAATTGTTGGGAGCACTATGCTCGAAGTTGTTGACGAGTACGTTTACCTGGGACAAATAGTCCGACTAGGTAAGTCCAACTTCGACCGAGAGGTCAATCGACGGATTCAACTCGGCTGGGCAGCGTTCGGGAAATTACGACACATCTTCTCATCAGGTATACCTCAATCTCTGAAAACTAAAGTGTACAACCAGTGCGTGTTGCCAGTGATGACTTACGGATCTGAGACGTGGTCCTTCACCGCTGGCCGTATGAGGACGCTCAAGGTCGCTCAGCGAGCTATGGAGAGGGCTATGCTCGGAGTTTCACTGCGTGATAGACTCAGAAATGAGGATATCCGCAGTGAAACCAGAGTGACCGACATAGCCCAACGGATTAGTAAGCTAAAGTGGCAATGGGCCGGCCATATAGCTCGAAGAACCGATAACCGATGGGGAAGAAAGGTTCTCGAGTGGCAGCCTCGTACCGGTAGGCGTAGTGTAGGGCGACCCCCCACTAGATGGAGTGACGACCTGGTGAGACATGCAGGAAGTCGATGGATGCAGGTGGCTCAGGACCGTGCTTTGTGGCATTACTTGGAGGAGGCCTATGTTCAGCAGTGGACTTGTGAAGGGCTGTAATGATGATGATGATGATGAATAACCTTATCATGAGATTTTAAAATTACACGTTTTAAATTGATACTATCATCTAATTACATGGATTTAAAATGAAGAGTACTTATATTAATCGGAAGGATTTTGCAAAAGCGCTTTTTTATTTTCTGACGTGCATGTTTTGTTTTATCTGTAGATAATCGTGAAAAAAATGTTTTCAATTCGAATTAAGAATTTTATAAATCAACGATTGACGTAGATCGATTTGAAATACTCGATGCAATAACATAGAAGTACGTCGGTTGAGCACGTAACGTTATTACAGAGATAAAATAATTATCGGCATTGATCTTACGTCAGAATTTTTAAAACCAAATTATGTATGGCGACGTTTTTGGCAAAACCCAAGATATTAAAACCCTAAATAATTATTTGTGTATTATATAATCAGTGCTAGCTTACTATAAAAACGTGTAACAAGCTAAGAATAAATAGATGACTTAGTGTAGAAACTCAGTACTCATATAATGATCAAACGTTTTAGTGGAGCGGGACGATGTCAGGATAACAGCTGGTGCTATGAGGGCAATAATAAAATATACTTTAGCATCGTTACCGTGTGCAGTACAGTACCTTACTATAATATGTTATATTATAACCGCTGTATTTCACTTTAACCGCACAGTAATAATAAAAATAATATAATAATGTCCTCCAGACCGAATTCCGGTCACGGCGGCCTGCCTCAACGGAGACTAGCCATCGGCACAGGACAGTATTACAGTGCCTAAGTTTATGCGCAAGAACAGGTGCAACTTATTTTCTTTTTTTCTTTCACTCTCATAATCAGATGGTACTGTAAGCCGACACGACCGGAGAGAGATCAGGCGCAGGACCAACGGTTTTACGTGCTTTCCGAGGCACGGGGGTGAGACACCACCAACTTCCAGACTCCGGGCAGCTACTGAGAATTTCTTGATGGAAAAACTCAATAATTGATTTTTTGACCCGACTCAGAATTCGAACCCAAGATCTCATCGATCGCACTACTACAACCACTAGACCAACGAGGCAGTCACATACTCGTATAACCGCACATTAATATCTAATATATAAAATATAAAATAAATGCTTTTTGTCTTGACATATTATACTCTACAGACTAGTTATGTGTGTGACGGCCCTTACTTTGAACACATAGTGTTCAAATATATCGAACTGTTTGGTCAGGGCAAGCCTCGTGATTTTTGCCATACCCCCCCCCCCCCCCCCCATTTCGAGCCGCACGTGATTAATGGACGGCCCCTAACATGTCAATTCACACATTTAAAAGACAATCCAAGGGATGCTGGATGCATTTTATGTTAAAAATGTCGAATTGTGCGATAATTACGTTTCGGAAAAACAGCCGGATGCGTAATTTGAATAAAAGTGCTTTCACCAATAAGTCAAAACTATTTATATTTTGTGATCATCAAAATCAAAAATAAAGAAACATTGATATGCAAAGGCAACATTACTAGGATTGTAACCAAATTTTACTGATATCGGTAAACCGTGGAATATTGTTGATTTTAAGTGTACTTGGTATAATGACAAGCTAAATAGATACGTACAAATACTGTAAAAAATAATAATTTAATGAATGAAATGACCTAATGCATATTTATATATTTTTTTCACACTGACTTCTTATCCATACATCACAAAAGACATTTGAAGGACAATAAAATACCACGTAAAGAAATTGTATACATAACATTTGACGACTCCGTGGCGCAGTGGCTTAGCAATGAGTGGCTACGCTGGGGTCGCGGGTTCGAATCCCGCACGGTACAAGTATTTGTATGGCCTACAAATAAATGTTCCGGGTCTGGATGTTTCTCCTTGTGCAATTTATGGTTGTAAACTGCACCCACTATACAGGAGAAAATCCTAGTGTAGGGGTAATGTTTTTTTTTAAATAGCACAGATAAGTATAATCCTGTGAAAAGGATTAATTCAACATCTGAGAATGTGATGCCTCGAAAAAATGACAGCACTGAAGAAGAAGAAGATATAAGCTCGAAACGCGGTAATCATTCATAGGCTCTGAAACTAAACTGTTTCCTGAAATTATATTTAACCAAACGGAGTTATAAGAAATCATATTATGTATGTATGTATATTTGAAAAATATTATAAAATAATTATTAAATTAAATAATTCGATATAATTTCTTGTTGGAAAATCTGAGTTGCCAAAACTACCAAACGGCAATTTTTAAACAAATATATATTTTTCCAAGGTTAATGAAAAAGCTTTTTGAAATTAATTTATAGAAATTATCATAAACGTGCTGTGAAAATTTTCGCCACGTAAGTCGATAAATAATCTACAAGATCGTTTAAAGATTACGGATATGTTTGTTACGGCCTAGACGAATTCCTAAGAAACAGAAACAATAACATAACCTTTTTTATTAAATATAGATTATAAATGATACTTATTAAGTCACTTTTTTATTTACTATATATGAATCCCAAATATCGTAGACGTACTTTTCATAGATTTTTCCCCATTTTCGGATTTGATTCCCCATTTTAGCCTTCTTATCGGTGATAGATTACCTTTTTAACTTAACCAGACATCAAACTATTATTTTATCAAAATCAGTTCAGCAGTTTAATCATGAAAGACGGACAGTTTTTCTCATAAACTATAAAAGTATAGATTTCTCATACATATGATTCTGAAAAACTAGTATTTATTTTTCTGCAATACATTTTGGTAGCGTATTATGTTTTTGTGTTATATTTTCTGAAGTAGTTTTATTTTTTTTACATTTAGTATAATATATATAATATAATAATAATATATATATATATATATATATATATATATATATATATATATATATATATATATATATATATATATATATAAATTACGTGTCATGTTGTTTGTCCGTGACGGACTCCTGAACCACTAAAACGATTTTAATCAAATTTGCACACCGTGTGCAGTTTGGTCCAACTTGAGAGATAGGATAGTTTTTTGCCCATGAGTGACCCACAAATTTTTTTTGTGAATTTAAGGATTTTTATTTTATAAGCATATATATACTCCTCAGTTTCTCAACACAGTTATTCCTTCTCTTTCTTTTTAAACGGAGACTGTCTGTAAAGATTCATTGTGAATCCGATGTTATTGTGTCTTGGAATAAAGTCTGATTTTATGTAATATTAAAATACGTTTGTAACATGTATTTATTGAAATTAGTATGATCAATGAGGTAATGGCGTTTTTAGTAGTGATAATATGACGTAACAGCTTGTATGTGTGGAACCAGCGACACCGGTTCTCGTACAAAATTACGTTGGCAGCCATGCTATTGTATATTACAATGTTCTATGACTTTAACCATAGTATAAATACTAAATACGATAATGTTATCGCTGATATAAATGTTCTTGCTTTAATTAATTTTTCATGAAAGCGAATGTAGGTTATCTTAAACCTCAAATATAACCTTTGCCTATTAGGAATAATGTATCAATCGATAAGTAAAAAAATATATCAGAATCGGTTTCAGCAGCTTCAAAGATTACTTTCCACAAGCAAAACTTCCTTAAAAACAACCTTACCTCTTTATCATATTAGTGCACATTAGTGTGGATAGTGAAGTGTAGATTTATCAAATATATATTAGAAGTTTTTTATTATTCTACACTTACTTGCAAAAGCGTGTTCTGTCCGTATCTCTGCACGCATGCTTCCATGAACTCATCAATAAACTCGTCGTACTCCTTTCCTCTTACACGTCGCTGCCGCAGACCAATGTATAAGGGATCTTCTAGTAAGTCCTGCGAAAGAATTTCAAATGTTACTTTATAAACGTTTGGTATTACAAGATATTTGACGACTCGATAGCGCAGTGGCTAAGCATTTAGTATGGTCTACACGATCGGTCTGGATGTTTACCATGTGCAATTCGTATATTTAAAACAACTCCGCAAGGCAGCAGATATCTTAATAAGATCGAAATACATTACCGGCGGCCCGTATCAACGAACATAAGCCATCTACGCAAGACATAGTTCTAGCGTTCGAGTGTATGCGCAAACTCACGTGCGCTTTCTCTTCTCTCACCCTTGTAGTCCGATGAGATGGCAATCAGCTACATACGGAGTGAGATCAGGCGCAGGACCAACAGCTTTAAGTGTCTTCCGAGGCACGAGAGTGACACGGAACACCACTAACATTGAAATAATACTAGTTTTTACGGAATTTATCGCGTATATTTAACTTTTTAAATACCCGACGTTTCGAACGCTTTACAGCACTCATGGTCACGGGCGGGACTGAGATGTTCAACGTCCATATGTCATAGTTAACCGCGGTTACCATAGATTAAAATTTTGCAATAAGCATTAAAGGTAACTAACTTGAAATCGCCCTATGACGTGAGAAAACCAAAAAAAATGTTGCTGGGTTTTATTTGAAGGGTCGATTTGTATAATCGCCAGGTTTAGTCGTGGAAATCGCAGATGTCTTGTACATACATATAATAATGGCCAAGCAAATTTAAGAGCCGTGGTAGCTCAGTTGGTTAGCGCTCGCTGTAAATTTCACAATACGCGAGCAAACCGGGTTCGATCCCCGCCGGCACCAATGAAATTGTTAACTGCAATTTTAAGTACTGATTTTCCACGTGCTCGGCGGTGAAGGAAAACATCGTGAGGAAACCTGCATGTCTGAGAAATAAGAATAAAAAAATATTTCGAAGGCATGTGAAGTTCGCCAACACGCATTAGGGCAGCGCGGCGGACTATTCCTTGCCCTAAAACCCTCTCAGAAATGAGAGGAGGCCTGTGCCTGTTTTTTTTAAATTTAAGACACTCATTCCATAGCCCGTCTTATGTAATAAGGCCTTTTGATATGAACACATCTGATATATGTAAAAGTAAAGTAAAGTTACAGCCTACATACGTCCCACTGCTGGGCACAGGCACAGAGGGTTTTGGGGCAAGGAAGTGTCCGCCGCGCTGCCCCAATGCGTGTCGGCGGACTTCACATGTCTTCGAAATATTTTTTTCTCCTATTCCTCAGACATGCAGGTTTCCTCACGATGTTTTCCTTAACCGCCGAGCACGTGGTAAATCAGCACTTAAAATTGAAATTAACAATTTCATTGGTGCCGGCGGGGATCGAACCCGGGTTACTTGAGATCTGTTATATTTACAGTGAGTGTTAACCATCTGAGCTACCACGGCTGATATATGTGTACCCCAATATATTTTTTTTAAATACATTAGGATTTTTTCCTGTAGCGTGGAAGAAGTTTACATACATGAATTTCGTAAAGATAAACATCCAGAACCGAAACAATTATTTGTAGGCTATAAAAAAACTTGTACGGGAGGGGGGGGAGGTGATTCTGCATCACTCAGCACCGTAAGTCATTACTAACCAAATGCGCCGCCACTTATAAGATACATTATTATAACGAACATGATTTCATTTAAGCAGCCACCACAGTAGTACATACCTGATTATCCGTACCAACATCCAAAGTGATGGGCAAACACTGGTGAGGTTTTATTCCGGCCAATGCGGTATACAACGAAAGCTTGCCCACAGGTATGCCCATCCCGTACGCTCCCAAATCGCCAAGACCCAAGATCCTTTCACCATCGGTGAACACTATCGCTCTAACATCAGGCTCCGGCCTACAAATATACTTTAATGTTTTTCCCATTTGTAATTTGCACATACTATACAACTTCATTTATTTTATAACTAGCTTGTATCCCCGACTTCGTCCGCGTGGAACTTAAATAAATCCTGCATATACCTAATAGTATTTTTGAACAAGTAGTTCAATTATGGAAAAACCACTATACTTAGTTTTTACAAAATGTTTGAAATATAAATTGGAGATCTATTAATTTCACGTAAAAAGGGTCTTATCCTTCATCAATCATCACACTGTTTTCTTTTTTTTGAAAAATGGATGTTTATTGAAAAAATGTAATAAATCGATCAAAACTTTAATTCATTATAATTAGAAGATAAAGTGTGTGGTTCTGTTTAGTGTAAAATTGCAAACCAAAAAGGTTTGGTTCGAAACTTTTTTTATAATATCTTATAATTTATGAGTTCATGAGATAATTATCGAAAACCATATTTATTCAGTCTATTTTATCAGGTTTTCGACTTCACAAAAACATGTGTTTGCTATTCACATAAAATATAGCTCACACCACTCATAGGTCAAAGCATTGATTTCTGTCTGTATGTAAAATTACGTCATAATCGGCTCAGCCCATGGAGGTTAGAGAACAGGAGAATGATCATAGCATAAAAAGCATAGTCCCTGAAAATTTGTAGAATTTATAATCGCGCTGCCGTCGGTAAGTACCTACTATCTGAGAAGTAATTTTTTAATTATTGACAAAAAGAAACATAATAAAATAGTGAAATATTACTAAAAATAATAATAATAAATCAATAATTTATATTTGTAATAATTTATAATAACTAAAATTATAAAAAATATAATTTACAAATTATTCATTAATAAATAATAATAATTTCGTAATTTTTTTTCTTTGAATGATATTATAATCATTACAAACTAGCGCACAACGGCCCGCTTTTAGTGAGACAACTTAGCGATCGCAGCACGTGTCGTATTGTCGTCGATGGTGTCTTACCTGGAATAGTGGTGTTGGGAGTAGTGGTGCTGGGACTAGTGGTGACGGAGTTAGTGCATGCAATTGAGGGAGGGCGGGAGGTGCTCTTCGATCCAGGTAAGACACATCATTGTATTTATTTAGCGGAAGGTTGCGAAGAAATTTATATTTTTATTTTTTATTATAATGGATTTCCGCAAAGTAACGCCTGATTCTATCAATTATCAAAATGTATGAATTAGTTAATTTATACGCTAATCTATAAGCGCTAAAATCTGAAGCACTCAATTAGTATCTTAATCCACATGTGCGATAAGATCAGAGGACCATTCTGGAAACAACGTCATCTTTATCAGCCCGTAGAAACCACAGCTAGACGTAGGATTTTCTGAACGCTTGACGCTGGATTGACGACCGAATCATGAGATGTTACCGTTACCGATCTTGCGCTTATGATTAAAGCATTAAATACACTTGTTTTAAATTAAATAAACACATAATATACTACATGCCCAGTACAACTACCATTCCCTATTACATATTTTTTTCAAGATCACTTACCAATTTTTAAGTATATTAAATATGTGTCCTTTATCATTAATAGTGATAAAAAGACCTCTAGGTCTTCTATAGATGAGCCCAAATCTTTGACAAGCCAAGCCCACTGTTGGCGTATAAACAATTGGCAGATACTTCTCGACATTCTCCGAAAGTAGTCTGAAGAACAACTTCTCATTTCTATCCTACAAAAGTCCAAACGAACTCTTATAACAGCAGTGAAACAATACAATTTTCATCAACGTATTGTCTTATACTATCTATAAAATGATTATATATAATACTTAATTGCAAACATTTAAATGATTTATGATGATATGTGACTGTACAGTAGTAATAAAATTAAAAAAATACACTCCAATACAATACACAAAACTCGTATATGTTTATTTTTAATAACATATAACTAATATTTTAATATACTCACATCTATGCCCGCAACGAAAAAAATAAGCAAATATATTACAAAGAAGCAAAAACCAATTTCAGAAACTAAAAACATCTTAAATTTATAATATTTAATGCTACTGCAAAGCGATGGCAAAATAACGGCGTTCGAAGAGCAAGAGAACCAGTATAACTTTCAACTATGAAGCATTGGGTGCGTTTGGCAGAAAAAAGCGCTAGCAAGCGCTTATAAGCAAAATGGCGATCGTAAGCGGTAAGCGCTGTCAAATCGTAAGTAGCTATTTTCCTCCAGGACACGATGTTAGTTTTAACCGGGGAACCTAACCTCATTTAAATATATGTTTGTAAAGTATTCATATTAAAAACTTACCAATCATGAATTTTAATAACATATATATGTTTATTCACGTCATTATTATATTACTTAAAACTAATATTGCACAAAAGAACTTATAAACTCTACTTCAAAACAAACAAATTAAATAAGCAAAATGGCGGATTGTGTCAGCGCTACTGAAGTAGCAATCGTGTCCTGGCCGAAAACTATTTTAGCGCTTGTAAGCGCTTGCTAGCGCTTTTTTCTGCCAAACGCACCCATTCCGTCATAGCCCTTAGAATAGGCATGCATTGCTCTTGCTGCAGCTATCCTCGAGTAGTAGCCACAAGCCACTTACCATAAGGTGGACTGCAACTCCAACGTCATGAAATGTTCAATTGCTTAAACACAACATACTTGTTGCATTTATTATAACGTTGGTGTATAAATAAAGAAGACCAATAGATCCCAACAAAATTAAAAATATTTTAGAAAACAATAATAAATTAAAAACAAAATAAAGAACCATTAAACCATCTCTTAATGCTTTACAGTGCATTCAGAATAGTAATTTAAAAGTGAAAAATGTATCACTGTATATACATATAAATTAGCAATATACGTATTCGTATACATTAAATGAATGATACCTTTATTATGTTTAGTCACCTGTAACTCGATGAGGTAAAGGTATTTATTCAAATTGTCCTCATAACGGTCTATTGATATTCTACAGATGTCCAGTTGCTCCTCCTGACTTTTAAACTTGGCCGCCAAAAGGCCATGAATGCCAAGGGCTTGGCGCTCCTCTAGTGTAAATGCGAGACCCTAAAATAAATTCAAAAATACAAACACGTGATAGTGGTTAACTGCTAATAAGGCACTGGCGTTGAGACTGAGACAGGAAAATGTATCCAAAATTGTAGATCCCAATTCCTAAAGTCTAATGTTGGAGAAACTCTTTATTAATTTGAGGGTGTGGAGCTTTACGCTACATGCTTTCGTGAATATCAAAGATTGCTGGCCAAAATGTGACGGATTTTCAGCAATGGAGTATAGAATAAAGTAGGTACGGTAATAATCATATTAGGATGTTTAGCTGCCGTATGATGGCGATATAAGAGGATCTATAGCCCGATTTCGCCCCATGAATAGCTTACGGTTTACGATAGATAGTGGTACATAACTCTACCATACCTTCACCTTCTATTATGTACTTACCTACTAGTAGGTAAAAAGTTCGATTAATCTTTAATGTATGATTTCATAGAAAACACCAATCACCTCAATCCCAAGGTTACAAATACAACACCCACAATCAAGGTCAGGCAAAATGGGTTGTCGAGAATGCTCGTCTCTACAAACATGCGAACAGGTGCACTCAGCATACTTATAGTGCGTCCAATAATAATAAATAGACTCAGAAAACTTGATATGTTATATTATTATTTAATAAGCGAAACAATCTATAATAATATCATCATCATCATCATAACATCCCATCAAATCCACTGCTGAATAAAAAAGCCTCACGTTGCCCTATAGTGCCATATTTACCACGCTCGGGAGGTTGATTAGCAACCACTAAACTTATTTTATTATTATGAATAGTTATCAGGCAGATGCTGCTGCCTATCTCATGTATCAACTTCCCTCCGTCACCTCTTAAGACACTAACAGGGGTAGTGTATTCTTTCAAGCCGCCACTATACGGCTATAATAGTAATCGTATTAAATTCAATATTTTTTATTGTTTACTTAAAAGGCTGAGGAAAATTCTTAAAATCAATTTAAGAAAGAATATTATGTCATTTAAATTTCTAAAAACAACATCGTATTTAAAATATCTATTACTGGAATAGTAATCGACGTGCTGCATGAAACCTAATATATTTTCTGTTATCCATGGATTAATAGTGTAGCAATACAGCTTTTCGATCTTTTACTGAGAAAAATAATTATTTTTAACGAGAATCGAGAAAGAAATTAGATTAGCTTACGAAGAAGTCGGATATTTTATGTTTGAAATATGTGTATTTGATTCAAAATAAACGGTATGAAAGAACGGTAGTATAACGTAAACAAATCTGAGTAAAAACTGTATGCCTAAAGGGATATTTTCATTCCAATCCCAATCGCAGGCCAGTTATCGCCTGAACGTAAACATTTCACAAAATAACTTTTATTTCACCGTTTTCAATAAATTAGACTGTAATGTAAAACAAGGACATCGCCCTCTTAATGCTTGAACTTTTAAACAATATAAAATTCAATGCAATTTTCGGATGTAATTTTACATAAAAAACATAAAAACTCACGCCTATCACCCAGAGGGGTAGGCAGAGTCTACAGACTTTCATTTGGCACGATCCTAACACACCTCTCTCGTCTCCTCTACATCCATATACCTACGCATACATGCTCGTCGGTTAAGGGTACTCCTAATATGGACCATTTTCAATATATCGCCAATTTGGTCGATAAACTTTAGGGTGTAATTTTCTTGCTCTTTTATTAGTAAAATGAATAGCAATAAATTTTGCATCACCTTATTAAGACGCGGGTCTCTGAGATGATCGATACCTCGCACCATGTTGGGGCATATAATGTTGCCGGTGACTTCGTGGTATGGTCTGCATAATGACGTCGATGGCGCTACGATCTCCGAAAGTTGCGTTCGAACATACGGTAGCGCCCTTTTGGGCCCTAATGCATTTGTACAGCATCTGTAACAAATGAATGACAGTTATAGGTACATATAAAACGTTAACAGATCGGTTGCAGAACTGGTTGTTAACTTAATAATTATTTCAAAAAAATACCTACCATCTGGATTTATTTCGATTTCTAACGGAACTCATTACTGATAAATTAAACTAACAACTATTTATGAACTTTAAAGATGAAATGTATTTTTATGAGAAATAATTAATAGTCAAATGTTTTGATCACTTTTAGATACTGCGTGCATTTCACGATGGTTAGCCACTGAGTGCAATGCAGTCAAATTCTCTGGCTATTTATACCAAATGCACTGATACCATCGATCATTAATAATTGTTGACCCTTATTACAGTCTGGAACACTTATCTGTATTTTTTATAGAAGCAAGCAAACGAGCATACAGTTCACCTGATGTTAAGTGACTACCGCCGCCCATGAACATCCGCAACACCAGGGGGAATTAGGCAGGCAGGTGCGTCGCCGGCCCTTTAGAATGGAGTAAACTCTTTTCTTGAAGGTCCCCAAGTCGTATCGGTCCGGAAAAATCACCGATGGTAAACTATTCCACAGAGAGGTCGTACGCGGAAGAAAACTCCTTGTGAAACATACAGTGGTGGACCGCCAAGCATTCAGATGGTGTGGATAGTATCGGGAGGTTTGCCGCATAGTGCGTTCATGAAATTTGGCGGCTGAGATTAATCCGAACAATTCCTCAGAGCACTCCCCGTGGTATATGCGGAGGAAAATGCAAAGAGATGCAACATTCGCAGCGCCAGTGAATCGAGCCGATCGGAAAGCACTCGGTCGTCGACGATTCGGGCCGGTCTGCGCTGGGTGCGGTCAAGTGGAAGGAGCTGGTACTGGGTAGCCCCAGCCCAGAGATGGGAACAGTATTCCATGTGCGGCCGAACCTGCACCTTGTAAAGTTACAGGCAGTGTGCCGGCATGAAATACTGTCTCGCTCTGCTGAGCACGCCAAGCTTTTTAGAGGCTTTTTAGGTTGCAATTTGGCCTTCTCTTCCAAGTGACCACGAAACTACACGTCACTCGATATGTCGACGCCGAGGATTCCGATACCGGCTGAGGCAACAAGGGGAGTGCCTAGAAACTGAGGAGATACGGCAAAAGGGGTTCTTTTTGGCGGTTAACGCGCAAACTTGTGTCTTCTGAGGGTTAAACTGGACTAGATTTACACCCGTATTTATAAAGAAGTAATTACTTGCTGCTAAGTAATTTCTTCATTAAGTCATTACTTAAGGTTAGAATTCTCAATTACAAAATCTCATTCTATAGTTGAGTAACACACGTTACTTACTTGAGCAAATGCTCAAGTAACGTTCGACGCTTCGTGGTTGTTTCTGTGTGGCAACACTTCGTGAATGCGTTTTGTTTCGTGAAAAGGCAAACATAAGGTCTAGATTACTTTTACAAAATCTTGTAATAATATCTTTGATATTTCTTTGCTTTATATTTATAATAGCTATAGCGTTGAATGAAGTAGTTTATATTGTTAAATGTTAATTATATCATTATTGTCATTTAATGTTGTTAGTATAAAAAAAAACAAATGCTTGGATAAACAAAACGTTTGACATGTTAAAACCCTTGTAAATTTAAATGGTCACTTTTTACTCATGGGTTATATGCCCACACGTTATTTTTTACTTAGAAAGATTATACATACATTCATTGCTGTCAACTCAACTAATTTACCCTGAAATCTAAACCGTTTTGTCGACGAGTTGCATTTTTCTCTATATAACTTTCCATAAATTACGTAAATTTTCTAAATATGACTGAAGTAGACAGGAAAAAACCGTTCTCGAGTTTGGAAAAGGATTTATTTTTAAATATCATACAGAAATATGATACGATCCTAACCTCTAAACAAACAAATGCCACGAGTGCTTTAAAAAAGAAGCAGTCATGGGAGAAAATAGCGGAGGAATTTAATGAATCCTCTATTGTTACTCAAAAGGTAATATAATGAGTTTTGTATACTTTTATTATTTACAGATATGTAGAGTTTCATTTGTGTGTCATGGTCTTTTTCTATGAGCCGATTTTGTATTAGGCAGTTATCTAATTTCCATACGTTTCATTGTTTCAGGCATCTACTAAACAATTAATAAAGCTGTGGTATAATATGAAGGCAAAAGCAAGGGAGTCTAAAACGAAAGAAAATATTCGCCACTTAACAGGAGGTGGGCCATCTGTTGTGGATATGGATTCAATCGATTCCAAAGTCATGGATATAGATAAAAATATCCTTACTAACATTGCTGTGGATATCGATAGTGATATTGATGGTAAGAGTTATCCATGTAAATAACTACCTAAGTGTTTGTTCTTGATGTTGTAGTACTAAATAAAATGACTGCAAATTTATATAAAAACTGGTATAATAGGGAACTAAATGTTACAGTTACATTTCAACCTAAAATTAAATTGATATATGAGCGTCCACGCATACTTTCGGTGCCAGATCCGTTCCCTTACTCCCGCTCTACTCCAAGCCGATTGCGGCCGCCAGCAGACTGGTTTTATGGCTTCTCTCACCTTAATATCGTTCAGTGCTCTGAACACTAAGCCTGGCATGTATAACAGAGCCTCATTATTATTAGTTGGTATGGGCATTTATCATTATATTTTGTGACCTTTTTTCTGTTTTTCAGGGAATATAGTTTTATTAGGCGATAGTAACAATGAAGCTTGGTGTAAAACAGCAGAAGAAACAATACAAGTTTCTCAGGAGGAAAAGGAAATAAACTTCAAAACTCCTATCAAAAAGAGTTACGACAATTTGAGAAGTAATAAAATAGATACATTAAAGTGTAAAATATTAGAAGAAGAATTAGAATTTAAGAAAAAAATGCATGAGGAAGAACTAAAGATGAAAATTTTAGAGAGAGAACACAAAGAAAATTTGTTTAAAATTGAAATGCAAATAAAGTTAAAAGAATTAGAAAAACATTACCAAGAATAACCAATGTGAAATTCAACAACCCTGTCGGTTTTTTCTGTGTAAATAAATAAAATATAATGTAAGTGAAAATATTGGTTTTATTTTATAATTCATTTATAACATATAATAATGTGAAATTATATTTGCTCAAAGTACCAAACCAACACTGGTACCTGTTGTGCTTGTTGTAGTTGTGTAAGACGACTGAGCATTACTGTCCACAGTGTCCTCAACATCAAAAAGTCATATGCTTCTATTGCAGTGTTTTGGAGCACTGCACAAGCCATTATAATATTGGTTGTTGTCGATAGTTAGGTATAGCAACCAATTGGTAAGTATGAAGACCGTCTTTTCCATACTCAAATTAATTCATTTACTTCTATTGCAATGTTGTGGAGCACTGCACAAGCCATTATAATATTGGCTGTTGTCGATAGTTTGGTTTTTAGCAACCAATTTGTAAGCATGAAGACCGTCTTTTCGATACTCCAAATAATTCATTTACTTATACTGCAATGTTGTGGAGCACTGCACAAGCCATTATAATATTGGCTGTTGTCGATAGTTTGGTTTAGCAACCAATTTATAAAAGAAATAGAAAAAGAATAAAAAAATGTTACTATAATGTTATTTACCTAGTACAAGGATATCCTCCATCTCCGGATAACACCTCATCAATTTCATTATTGCATAACCTTATATTTAGTTGTGAGTTTGTAAAGATTTGGCTATCATGTGTGCTGCAGCCTAACGAACTACTTTATCATATATTATCAAATTAGGGCCACCAACTACTTGCATATTCAATGAAAAATAACCTTTTCTATTCCGGAAATATATGACAAAGAATAACCAGTATGAAACCCCGTTTTATACATTGTTTTTTTTTCTGTGTAAATAAATAAAATATAATGTAAATGAAAATATTGGTTTTATTTTATAATTTATTTAAAACATATAATAGCGTGAAATTATATTTGCTCGTAGTACCAAACCATCACTGGTACCTGTTGTGCTTGTTGTTGTTGTGTAAGAAGACTGAGCATTACTGTCCACGGTGTCTTCAACATCAAAAAAGTCATTTGCTTCTATTGCAATGTTGTGGAGCACTGCACAAGCCATTATAATATTGGCTGTTGTCGATAGTTTGGTTGCTAAACCAATTTTTAAGCATGGAAACCGTCTTTTCCATACTCCAAATAAACGTTCCACTGAATTTCTTGATTTTATTTGCACCTTATTATATCTCTCCTCTTGTGCAGTTCTGGGATTTGAAACTGGAGTCAATAAATGTCTGAAACAAAGAACTCTTTATTAGCGATATTGTAGTGAGATATTTATGATGCTTTGAAGACCACATAGCACATAGTATTGATATACCTAATTATAGTTTTATCGTTTATGAATAAAAAATTATTACTAAATTATTATTTACCTAGTGCAAGGATATCCTCCATCTGCAAGTAACGCCCCATCAATTTCATTATTGCATAACCTTATATTCAGTCGTGAGTTTCTAAAGATTCGGCTATCATGTGTGCTGCCAGCCCAACGAACTACTATATCATAATTATATCATCAAATTAGGGCCACCAACTACTTGCACATTCAATGAAAAATAACCTTTTCTATTCCGGTACTGCTCTGTATGAAGAATACCTCTAGGTTTGGTGATTTTAATGTGGGTACAATCGATTGCTCCCACAATATTTTTCAGTCCAGGTGCTCTGCCAATGCAACCAAGCTTTTCAAAATCGTCTTTTGTTTTCCTCAAATTTGCAGGAAACTTAATAAAATCTGTCATTAGCAATGCCAATATTCGACTAACTCTTTTCACTATATTACACACAGTCGATTGAGAAATATGCATGATATCTCCACATACTATCTGAAAGCTTCCAGTGGCATAAAAACGTAAAGCAGTAAGTAACTGACACAGTGGAGTTATAGGAAGCCCTCTTTGTGTCTCTGATTGTAAAGAGTCAGTAATTCTCGGTAAAATCACATGTATCACTATGCTTTTGGAGAAACGAAATCTCTTTTTAAAACAATCTTCCGAATAGTCACTAAATGGATCCACATTACGAAAGTAAACTTTGGGATTTCTAGGTTCAGCGACTTCTATCTCCTCTAATATAATATTATCTATATTGTCTATAACACCAAAAACCGATTCAATGCTATTCAAAGTTTCCATTTTTAGTCAAAATAACCTCAAAGTAGTGCTTAAGTAAAGGAAATGGTGACTATTACTTCGGCCGGTGTACAGAGCATCACCAGTGTTATCATCTGCATAGTAATGAATGTGGTACGCAGCCTTGTGGAACACTAGCATTAATATGCTTGTAATCGGAGCATGCGCCGTCTACAACGACCTTTATGCTCCGATCTGCAAGAAAGCCGGTGATCCAATTGCACAATTTCTCGGGAAGCCGATAGGAAGGGAACTTCGAAAGAAGCGCTGATATATAGCGAACAGCTAAAATTCTAGAAATTCAACCATTTTCTGCCTATATGAGTAAACTGCTATAACATAATTTTACATAAAAATTCATATTGGGCCATCCGATAATCCAATGAGTTACTCGACTCCACAGTCAGTAATTCATTTATGGAACAATTCATACGCTTTTACAACAAAGTCCCAGAAAATATAGAACTCTCTCGGTCTCTCTATTACCAAGTTTAATTTTTTTTATTAAACAATGACTTCATAAAAAGTATTATTAAGATATAAATGAATATATATTTCATACGTGGTAGAGCCATGTTGCAGCTATATTATAGCGTAAAACATTCACATAATGTTACAGTGTTTGATATAGTAAGTGAATAGAAGCGTAAACCCTTTTTAATGATAACAAGTCATTCAATTTAATTTAATTTTTACTCTTTATTGCACACAAAACATTACAAAACACAACAAACTTATATTTATAAATTTATGTACAATTAGATGGCCTTATCGGTAGACAGCTATTTCAATCTTAGTCCTTAGTGATGATAACACATCTGGATTCATATTCTTAGTTGAAGAAAAATTTATTTTTATTTTTTTACGGAACACAGCATCCACTTACTATCCGGTGGTCTGTGTGTTCGCTTGTGTTATTTCTATAAAAAAGCGTGGATGCACCACGTTGTCACAGAATATACCAGTGCAAAATAATAAAGTAAATAATAAACTACTCAAAACAAAATAAAACCCACTCTAAGTTAATCTCGAATTTCGTCTAAAAAAAATTGTTGGGTAGTAGAATAGTGAAGTTAAACATTTCGAAGTATTGTTGACATGTTTATCCAACGTTATCAATGTTTCAAGTCAGGAATTCAATGGTGGGTAGACAAAAAAAGTGAAGTACTCAAAAAAACATTTATTACTCAAATTCTCAGTCACTAGTACCCTCAGCCACATTCTGAATGTTACAGTCGCATGTCTACTTTTTTCATTTCGACTTGATTTCGGTGTTACTCGCGATCATTATGCCTGGTTCTCGGCGTCATATGGATGTGGAAACAGCAAGGAGAGCAGTGTTTATGCTTCAGGAAGGAGAATCTCAGAGATCAGTGGCAACCCGTCTTCGTGTGTCGCGACGAGCTATTCGAAACGCGTGGGAACGCTTTCTAGAGACTGGTATTTTCGCGAGGAGATCTGGATCAGGAAGAGCGCGAGCTACAACCGTCCAGGAAGACCGCCCTCGTCTTATAAAATCGACTGCGGCAATCGACTGGCACACGAATTAGTGACCAAACCATTCGAAATCGGCTCCATGAAGACGGACAACGTTCTAGATTTCGTGTTATTCGTCTAAAATTGACAAGAGCGCTTCGTGCAGCAAGTTTGAGGTTTGCTCGCGAGCATGCGGAGTGGACAATGGACAACTGGAGAAATGTACTCTTTACGGACGAAAGTAAAGTGAATTTTTTCAGCGATGATCGTCGAGTGCGCGTGTGGAGAAGAGAAGGAGAACGTTTTTCAGAACCTTGCATACATGAAACGGATCGTTTTGGAAGTCCAAATGTTATGGTGTGGGCTGGAATAAGCTTGCTCGGTAAAACTGAGCTGGTAATTCTGGAAGAAAGCTCCATAACTGCCTCCCGGTATGTCGATCGAATAATACGGCCCCCATGTCATCCCATTTTCACAAAGAGTGGGTGAAAACTTCGTCTTTATGCAAGACAATGCTCGCCCACATACAGCGCGAACAACCCAGAGAGCTCTCTCTGAAGCCAATATTACGGTTTTACCGTGACCGGCCATGAGTCCCGATCTTAACTCCATTGAACATTTATGGGACCAATTGAAAGAAGCCTCAAATCGAACTTCAGTAATGTGACTAATCGACAAGGGCTCATAAGCGCCCTAAAATTGTGTTGGGAGCGAATACACGAGGAAAACATCACCCACTTGATTTGAAAGTGTCCCAGATAGATTCAGAGAGTGCATACGGAACAAAGGGGGACCTACTCGCTATTAGGCACCATCAAACTTCCTTGATTTAGTCAATAATAAAAATCAAAATCAAACTTTAATTAAATCAATAATTTCTGTAAACTTTCCTAAAAACTGTAAATTTTGACTAAATTCCATAAAATTGGCAAAACTTACCTACTCTTGTCAATGTTCACACACATTCAAAAACCTTAATTTATTCATTCCTAATCATAAAAACTGAAAAAAGAAAAAGAATTCGTAAAATTCATTTATAAATCATGGTGGGCCCTATTTTGTTTTGAGTAGTTTATAAAGCTAATGTCTTCCGTATGTTGAAGTGAATAACGAGAACTGGAGACTTTTAATAATAATGAGACATTCTATCACAGTTCTCAAGGATGACAAAGTATTTCTGCATTTTGATTTATCAGTACGGATATATTATAGTTAACTTTTTGTCACAGCGTCCCCTTATGAATAAATCTATACTGCCCTGATACGGATAAAAGCGACTAATCCATTCCAAGAAAAATTGAAAAAAGCGCGAAATTGGTTTTCATCACTGAGAAAAAGTTTTTATTGGAAT